GCAGCCTCGACCTGCTGGGATCCGGCGATCCTTCCGCCTCAGCCTTCCGAGTAGCCAGAACTACAGGCGCGTGCTAATTTTTGATTTATCACAGAGACGAGGTCTCGCCAAGTTGCCCGGGAGGGTCTCGAACCCGTGGGCTCAGGCAATCCACTCACCTCTGCTTCCCAAAGTACTGGGATGACAGGCTGAGCCACTGAACCCGGCCGACGTGTCTTAAAATCTTTTTTTTTGAGTCAGAGTCTCACTCTGTTGCCCAAGACTGGGGTGCAATGGCACACTCCCGGCCACCACAGCCTCGACCCGCTGGACTCCGGCGATTAAAATCGTTTTTAGCAAAAGAGTTGAGCTACCAAATACATCTTCACAGGGCCATGAAGCTTGCATCATTTATGCTTTTTGCTCACGTGGTGGCATCTAATGTATACTGTGTGACCATCGACTTGCATCCCTGTGTCACCATCTTTATGGTATCAGCCACCCCCCAACCCACCCCTGAGCTGGGCAGAGGGGACCTCTGAGGACAGGCACCGTGGTTTCTGATCCTCACTCATGCTCGCAACACTGGGCCATCAGCTGTTTATAAACTGGGATTCCAGGCCAGTCGCAGGTGAGGTTTAGTTTTCACAGAAAGGACCGTGAGCAGTGATTGATACTCTGATTTAATTGTGCGCTCTTCACGTTGTTTTAGGAGGAATTTGAAAATTGCGTGACTCAGTATACGAAGGCGATTAACTTTGCGAAAGGAGAACCAAGGTAGGCATTTTTGAATCGGTCCTTTCGCTCTCTGATTGGGTCGGAGACTTTGGAGCTAGATCGACCCTGTGGTTCTGTGTATTTGGACTGTGGGTTTCCTCCCTTGTTTGTGGTTTTTGTGTGTGTGTGTGTGTTTTGAAGCAGGAGTCTCACTCTGTCGCCCACGCTGGAGTACAGTGGCACACTCACGGCCACCCCAGTGTCAACCTGTTGGGCTCCGGCAATCCTTCCGCCCCAGCCTTCCAAGTAGCCGAACTACAGGCGTGCATTACCACACC